CACCGACCTCAGAAAATTTAATAGTTCAGAATGATAGATGTAATAATAAATCCAACCCGTGCACAATAATGAACTGTCCTTTTAAAATAATGCCAACTGATTATTCTGGACCAGGTACATATATGAAATGCTATGATGTGTTATCCCTTGAGCTGCTCTATCCCACTCCATATTTTGAAACTCCAAGGTCAGATGATATTGCAAGCGAATATTTCTTTAACCTTCAAGGGGTGAAGCCGAAATACTCTATTATCAATGGAGTTGCGTTCTTGCCACCTGATGTGCCTGTCCTTCAAGAAGGTAATGGTGCAAATCAATGCAAGTATCCGGTAGACTGTAAATATCCTGGAACAGTTTGCACGCATACCGTAGAGCTAAATCAATTCAATACCGCCACAAGATTTGTGATTTCGTCTGTAAACCTGGGACAGCCAGGTGGTGAAAATCTTACACATCCATTTCACATGCATTCCCATACTTTTTTCATCGCTAAAATTGTATATCCTGAATACCACGAGAATGGAAAGATGAAGGCAGTGAACAAGAACCTATCAATATCTGATTGTGGGCCACCTAAATGGAGAAATGGCGCACCCGAGGGAATTTCCGTGACCAGTACTACTGTCCGTAAAAGTACTGTAATGGTACCCGCTAGTGGATATGTGGTTATTCATTTCTTGCAAAACAGTCCGGGATACTGGTTCATGCACTGTCATACTGATTGGCATCTTAATGACGGAATGTCAATGGCAATTAGTGAAAGTCCCGAGAGGGCGAGCACCCCTCCTGAGTTAATGAACAAGAATACAAAGGAGTTTTGCTTCAGTGTAAAAACATTTATTAGAAAAGAAGACCAGTATCCGGGTTATAGCAGGGGAAAAAGTGGTTCGATCAAATTCGAAGAAACTGAGGAATTCGAGAAATTTTGAAGAAATGGTCAGACCAGGTATAAAAAATGCAAGAAATTATAAAGAAGTGGGCAGATAAAATCAGGAACATACTGAGTAATAATGAAAATTGTTTTGAACTGGACCGGGAGTCCGAAGGATTACGAAACTGTTGCCACCTTCTGGGATTTATTAAAATGTGGCCGCACCAAATCCAGTGATCGTGAATCCCCGGCGACATCTACTTCCAGAATTTGTCAGAAAATTATAGATAAATAGATCAGTTTACTTTAGGGCAGTCGGTCAGCATTTAATTGGCTGTAACTACAATTATAAAATTGAATATATTGCTTACTATTTTAATGTGTTGTAGTTCACGAAATGTTTTGAGGGTGATGATCTCAAGGTTTCCATTACTGATGAAACCGGCAGAGTAGTGAAAACAATTAAGTAAGCAAAACTATGGAATAACATTGATTTGTATTTACATTGCATTTTCATTGATACGGAGGTCGCGGAAGCATTTTGAAAGTGGAGGGTTATTGACCAAAAGGGGCACTTTTGTATATGACCAAAATCAAACGATTTTATGACGTTCACGAGCCGAACGAAAATTTGTGAAAATGTGGAGTCTCTATAACGTCGGAAATGGCTTTAAAACTGCGAAAAGGGCACTTTCTTTCCAGCAAAAGAGGGCGTTCATTCAAGAAATACTTTTTTCGTTCATTAAATGTGCACTTAAGCCCAGAAAAAAGGGCACTCAAAAGATCTGCTTTTGCATAAAAATGTCCACAAAAACGCCGCTCTTTCATATTGTTTCTTCCTGTTTTTATATATTCGTCAGTGTCTTTAAAACTGCCAGTTCCTATAGAATAATTTACCGCGGGCTCAACCGACACATAACTCAATTATCTGCTAGCAAATAGTTATGCGTAGGTCGCACGATTATATATTTAACTGTACATGTAAGCTACTGGCCAATCAGAAGGCAGGTAGTGACTACAATGTATACTAAAAAGAATTATCCCCGAGCCAACGGCGCCGAGAGCCGTTCCGGGCGTTAGCCCGGGACGAGGGTACTAATTCCGCCCGGGGAAAGGAAAGCATTAGCGAATTCTAAAGTTCATCAATGATCGCGGGCGTGGGTGACCAACCGTGGGTGGTCATCCTCATTGATCTCAAAAATATGGCTGTTTGCCAGGAGTGCGATAAGCAAGATTTCAATTTTCAACTAGTCTCCCGAAAAGGTCTTTTATCAATCTACAGTAAAACTCTATAATTCGTATTACATTAAGTACATATAATGCAGTATATAGTGTTGCATCATTATGTAATGTATATCCCCAAGGTTGGCCAGAAAACTGTATACAAAAACTGAAGGGTAATTTTGCAAACTCTTATACAGCTTCATTGAAAAGGAAAGCAGTGCATGTTGTAAGCAATAAATTAAAGCAACAAAATTCAGACTAACATGAATTAAACATTCAAAGCAAACTTGCCCTATATTTCGCAATTTCCCACAGTAAATCAATTCTTCTCATTTCTTCAAACTGAAAAATTGCTTTAAAGCTCGTTGTGTGAAACGTGATTTTCCAAACATAATATTAATACTTCTACATTGTGTTTTTTTTTCTCTCTTATCACTTTAAAACGAGTTAATTTTGCGAAAATTCCCAGGAAAATTCGTCAAATTCGTAACTTTAATCTTTAATCTTTAATCTTTAATAAAATTATTTAAACACGGTAGCCTGTTCAGCAGATAATATTTACAGCGCTGGTTTTCAAAGGGGCGTGTGTTTACAACAATAATATAAAAAGGACAAAAAGAATATAACTATTTACAATGAATTGATACGGATGAATTAAGTAATTGCCGTTTAAACGACAAAATTGAAAGATTGTTATAATTTTCAGTAGTTTCACTTGGAAGTTCGTTCCAGGACTTAGCAGCTCTATACGAGAAACTTCGTTTGAGAAAATTTGTCTTAGGTTTGGGTAGGTTCAATTTAATTTGATTGCTTCTTAGATTGTAATTGTCATTTTGACTTACTGAAAACAATTTTTCAAGGTATCGAGGTAATCGACCAGTTAGTACTTTAAATGTCATTATTAACTGTCGTTGTTTTAGAAGTTCTTCTATTGGAAGCCAATTAAGACTATCTAGCGTTTGCATGGAACGAACGTACCTCGTATGTGTCCCCTGTTATCACACGCGCTGCTCTCTTCTGCAGTATAAACAATTTATCAATTATCGAACAACATCCATCATTCCAGATTGTTGAAAAATAATTGAAATGAGGCCACACTAAGGCATTGTAGATTTTTATCAGACTATCTCTATAGACAAACAATTTTGCTCTTTTCAGCAGGGCGATATTATTTGAAATTGTTTTACATTGCATTTCATTATGTTTATTCCATTTTAGCTGGTCGTCAAGGATCATGCCTAGTGACTCTTTTTGGTAAACTCGCTTAATGTTGTTTCCCCCTAATGTTAGTACTGGGCTATTTTCAATTGAAGCTAAGCGACGTCTTGATCCTATTATCATAAATTCACTCTTTTTCATATTTAATGAGAGCTTGTTAGCTGTCAACCACCTATGAACATTTTCAATGTCTTTATTAAGTTTGATCTCAATTTCATATGGACTAAACCCTTCACAAGAAAGGCTTGTGTCATCAGCAAAAAGATTTGCTTTAGTTGTCTCTAAACAGTTAGGAAGATCATTTATGTACAATAGGAATAAAATAGGCCCAAGGTTAGAGCCCTGAGGTATCCCGCATTTTATTTGTCTAACAGCTGACATCTTGCTATTCACAGAGCATATTTGGCTTCGACCAGAAACGTATGATTCGAACCATTTCAGGCTAGTTCCTTTAATACCATATAATTCAAGCTTTGATAAAAGAATATGATGGTCGACAGTATCAAAAGCTTTTTTAAGGTCTAGAAATAAAACTTCCGCTAAGTAAACCTCTGTCCATATTGAACAACCATTCATTTGTAGAACTAAGCAGTGCAGTTTCAGTAGAATGTTGATGACGGAAGCCAGACTGCTGTTCCACAAGAATGCCATTCAACCTCAAGAATGAACTTAGCTGCAGGTATACCAGTTTTTCGAAAAGTTTAGCTACAGCTGAAATAACAGATATTGGCCTATAATTTTCACAGTCTGCCTTATTTCCTTCTTTAAATATGGGGGTCACCTTTGCTAATTTCCAATCATTAGGGAAAATTGCTCTTTGAAGGGATACATTGAATATGTTCACTAGTGGTCCTGCCACAATGTTAGATGCATCTTTTAGTAACCTTATACACTGCAAAAAATCCTGAGTAAAATGTACTCAAAACCATGAGTAAATGAATGCACCCATAGTGACACATAATAGTGAATAAAACTAACTCATAAACGCGAGTAACAGTTACTCACATTTTCGAGTGAATCTCACTCAAAAAACTGAGTTAAAACTACTCAAAGTACACACATGCATATAGTTGATAAATTACTCAAACTTTGAGTAAATGTTACTCAAAACTGGAGTAATTTTACTCAAAAGATGAGTTGTAGTTACTCAAAAAAAATGCACCCATACCGCCTCTTTATTTTGAGTAAATGTAAAGATTACTCAAACTTTGAGTAAATGTTACTCAAAACTGGAGTAATTTTACTCAAAAAATGAGTTCTAGTTACTCAAAAAAAATGCACCCATACCGCCTCTTTATTTTGAGTAAATGTAAGGATTACTCAAACTTTGAGTAAATGTTACTCAAAACCGGAGTAATTGTACTCGAAAAAGAGTTCTAGTTACTCAAATAAAATGTATGCCTAGTGACTCCTCATTTGGAGTAAATGTAAAGATTACTCAAACTTTGAGTAAATGTTACTCAAAACTGGAGTAATTTTACTCAAAAAAGAGTTCTAGTTACTCAACTAAAATGTACCCATACTGACTCCTTATTTCGAGTAAATGTAAAGGTTACTCAAACTTTGAGTGAACGTTTCTCAAAGCTTCAGATTTATCTACATATACCTCTATATAGAAAATTTCAGTTACTATAATGCAACAAATACACGTACGGACAAAACCAAGAGTGAACACAGACAATATTTGGTGACTAAATGTTATAATTAATTAATAATCGTTAAAAATCCACAATGGACAGTCAATACACAATAAAATCTGTCTGCATGCATGGAGCTGGTAAATAACGCTGCAGCAGACTGATATCGAGAAATCAGCAAACCGCTCTATAGTGTAAAATACTGGCCATTTTGGAGGACGAGTATGCAGTCTAGTTTATATATATATATATATATGCCAGCTGTCTTCTTATACACATGAATGGTTAAACTCACCTTAATATACAACACCTAACAGATTGTTTATTTCTGTAAATAATTTGGAAATATTTTTATAGAAATTTTATTCGGATTATATAACACAGAGCATGAAAAGCTTGGGTTTACTGTGGCCGGGCTAAAACAAATGTGTGACCATTGAGTGTGTGACTGAATCGATCTGAATTTAACCTTTCATGTGTATATAAATCGTCCACAAAAATTAAAAGTCTTGGAAAAAGATTATGAATGAATGATCGATCAATTATTAAAGTATTCATGCAAGTTTCACTGTTTCAACTTCAAGGTTTAATCAAGGTATTAAAGAGAACAGTCTTCTATAAAATCATATCTGTATACTTATATAATGTTTAAAATAGTTATTGTAAATTATGTTCCTAGCATATTAGTCAATCTAGTTGGCCATCGAGTCCAGTTTATTGACGAAGCTAATAACTGAAGCTGGCAGCTTCTTGCCATCGTTGATGTTCAACACACACTTTTGCAAGAACAAACGGAAATTATTCAACGTACCTGCGTACTCGAACATAAAAACATAATTTACAGCCATAAATACCACAGCTCTTGACAGCTGCGTCCACCACCCACTCTTGAAACGTGAAAAGGACCATCTTTTCTGCTACAATAGCCGTCTCCTCCCAATCATCGGGGTCTCCCTTAATGACTATTTTCTGGCTTACTTCGTTCGCACTCTCGGCAGCATCTTCAAAGCTTTCATCCTCCTATCAAAAATAGAAGTGTATATTTAAAAAGAGATTACATGCACATTTAATTTCTATTTACCTGCCTGAAGTATATACAACACAAAATACATCATCATGAATTAATATTCTATTTCCATGCATCCATGTGCTTCCATTTAATAGATTCATTCAATTCTTATAGCTGTACAGCAAGTACACTGTATGTGTAGCAAACACATATTATTTACTCTTGATTTCAATTTGCTTTTGTGACCTGACTTCGAATGTTTGTTTGTAAGTTCAGAATGTTCGTTGCAATGTTATGAGTTCCAGTTCCGATGATTTACGATGATTTAATAGCTAAGCAATTTGATTGGCTTGACATATTTAACTAGAAAAAATTTGAAGTCAGATTACAAAAGCAAATTGAAATCGAGTGTAAAGGCCGTATAAACTCTGTAATGTACATGTAAACAAACACTTTGTTTACATTTTGAATTCAGTGCCATATTTGTAAAATATGATATACTGAGTTAATTCTGGTTCGCTATGCTTGTATAACAGTACATCAATTCAAGAAAGTTTGAAAGTTGCGAAATATTATCAACAGTCCAATGGTAGGCCTGTGCAGAACGTATGTGCGGAACAGACTTTACATGGTCCTTTAAGCTGCTGCAGCAGACATCCACTGCAACAACAAATTTATAATTCTTATTAATGATTACTTACAGGGATATATTGCACAAAGTCGCTCTGACAACCCTTTCTTGCTTTCAGCTTCTGGAGCAATGGCAAAACCAGCATTGCAATATCCAGAGTTTCGTCTAAAACAAAGTAAATAAACATTTAGGTAATTAATATTCTGTTTAATCGTAGCATGTATAGTTTCTTAATGCTGTATTTTACCATAGGTGGCACATTAAACCATATGATTAAACTTACTGTTGATAGTTTCCATCTCTTCCCATGTATGCCATTTATAGTTTCCATCTCTTCCCATGGGAGCCTATTATCTTCTCAACCATGTTAAAGAGGTTCTGATAAAAGTGTTGTTGTTTTGTCGGGGAGCTATTCTGGGGAGCTATTCAGGTGTCTCAAACAAGTGCCATGAACCTGAGTGATTTGTTGCTCAAAGGTGGAAAAAAATCATCAGTGCAGAATGAAAAGGTATACATCTAATTGCATCCCCTTTCATGAGCAGCTGGTTTTAACATGCAGGTTAAAGGCGGCATACACAACTGTCACAACAACAGGAAACTGCATCAACATGAATGTATACAAGCCTCAAATCGGCGGCAAGTGCCGGCCTTACACAAAAGCTGAAAAACAGCAATACTGAGGTCAAAATTCAAGACAAACTGTACTGTTATTTAAGTTTGTTGCCAATTACAAACTGCATGTTTTCAGTCATTTTATTTCTAAATTTTGGTTAAAATGAGTAGAAATAATAGAATACAGTAAATAAATAGTACCCTTGCAAACCAGTTGCTCTATTTTGAGCAGGAAAAATTAAAAATCATTAGCACAGAAGATATACAGCCATGCATCTCCCCTTTCATGAGCGGCTTGCTTTCACATGCCACTCAAAAGAGGTGCTGGTAAAAGGCAGCATAACTGCCTTACACAACAACAGAAATCTGCATCAGCATGAATGTATACAAGCCTTAAATTCTGTCTCAGTAGTTCTCACTGACAGGCGGCTCTGGAATGTGCCACCTGAGTGAGCTATTGGTTAAAGGCGGCAAGTGCCGGCCTTACACAAAAGCTGAAAAACAGCAATACTCAGGTCAAAATTCAAGACAAACTGTACTGTTATTTAAGTTTGTTGCCAATTACAAACTGCATGTTTTCAGTTATTTTATTTCTAATTTTTGGTTAAAATGAGTAGAAATAATAGAATACAGTAAATAAATAGTACCCTTGCAAACCAGTTGCTCTATTTTGAGCAGGAAAAATTAAAAATCATTAGCACAGAAGGTATGCAGCCATGCATCTCCCCTTTCATGAGCGGCTTGCTTTCACATGCCACTCAAAAGAGGTGCTGGTAAAAGGCAGCATAACTGCCTTACACAACAACAGAAAACTGCATCAACATGAATGTATACAAGCCTTAAATTCTGTCTCAGTAATTCTCACTGACAGGCGGCTCTGGAATGTGCCACCTGAGTGAGCTATTGGTTAAAGGCGGCAAGTGCCGGCCTTACACAAAAGCTGAAAAACAGCAATACTGAGGTCAAAATTCAAGACAAACTGTACTGCATGTTATTTAAGTTTTTTGCCTATTACAAACTGCATGTTTTCAGTTATTTTATTTCTAATTTTTGGTTAAAATGAGTAGAAATAATAGAATACAGTAAATATATAGTACCCTTGTAAACCAGTTGCTCTATTTGAGCAGGAAAAATTCAAAATTGTCAGCACAGAAAGTGTACAACCATGCAACCTTTAAAACGGGATTTTTCTACAGGTTTCTTAGAAAAATCCTGTTTTAAAGTGAATAGAAATACATTTATAATTAAAATAATTTTTGTTTAATAACATAAGGCTTATAACTAATATTTAATACTTAGTGATTGAGTTAATCTTTATTGAATTATTGAACTACAATGTCAAAAAGAAGCACAATGGTCAATGCCCAAAGAGAAGTACGTGGCATTAGCGCGAAAACGTAAAACATCTTTGTTGTCATGTCGATCAGTCCTCCCCCCCCCCCAAAAAAAAAATTGCATCAGAAAACACACTATAATATTACCTATACAATCCTATTGGCTATTTCTTAGTTTTCTCTTGACCATTATAATCATCATTACAGAAGATAGCTATACATCTACAACATAGCATTCCCCCTAAGAGTATTAGGCTAAGACAAAAGCTGGTTGAAAAAACCCAATGCGCAATGACAATATTCAAGACGTAAAACTTCTACAATTATACTTTCAGGCAGAAACCACTGTGCTATTGCTGCAATTAACACTCAAACAGATGAAAGTAAAACCAACCTTGATCCTTCAGATTCTGGTGTTGCCGTTGGGCTTCTAGGCTGTTCTTGCATTGCTGTGGATGTGCACTGGTTGTCAGGATTATTTACGTCATCTTCAATAATGAGTGTAGCCGGAGGTGTTGTAGCCTCCAAAGGTTTGGGCGCTTGGGGTTGGCAGTTTTTGTAAGAAATTCATTCGTGGCCCTATTGATGGAACTAACAATTCTAATGCTCGTTCAGTGAGACCTATAAGGGCAGGTCCATCAATCATATTATCTAAAAAATAAATTGTTGTCATCTGAGACTGAACTCACAAAACTTAATTTTACCGAACAGCCAAACAGGCGACCAGCGAGGCAACTTGATTAAAGAAAGGATTTTGCGCGCAAACACCATAGTCTATATTTTGTAATAAACTTTAAAAGTAAATGTTACGTAAGTATGTGGGGAAATTTTCAGGTCGATATGGTGTTATTTCGAGTCATTTATAAGGCCAAACACACACCGAAAAACGCGACGAGCACCCTGGCGTGGCGCGAGAGGAAATACAACAATGAAGGAAAGTTAGAATATATGTAGACACAATAACCCAATATATTAATACAGCGTAACTAAATATTTTAAACAGGATGAACGTTACCTGTAAATTAAATCGAAAAACAGCGTCGCGTACTTGCAAAACGTGCATGTAAACGCCATAACTCTGTTTGTCGGCGACCAACTGAAAATATGATATCATGCGCTTTCAAATGAAAACATACCTTTAAAACACTGGCAATAGTCCTCGAAGCCAACTTTAATAAGCCACGATTGAACGTATTCTTTTCATTTTACCATCTTCAATACAATTGAACGATAATTCTTCAGTTTTGCTCTACGCAAAGGAGATAACTTGGCTGTCTTACTATACCGGCTGCACTGAATGATCGATAAAAAATATATAGGATGTAATTTGACTATGGCGCGTTAACCGCCTGTGTGGATTTTGCGGTCGATGATTGGTTACTCATGATGAAATGACGTTTTTAATAAAAACAATTTCGGCACTGTCCTAAATACAATGCCGAGCAGACAACTCCCACATCCTGTATGCATCCTGTTATAATTCTAAATCTCATTAGAGGATTAGTAGAGGATTAGTCATAAGTGTGACAAAATGTGGGTGTATATATTGCTAGATCCCGAAATAAATAAAAATGCAACAGATTTTGCTACCTTTAAAGCCAGAATTATTGTAACGTAGGAGTATGACATTTACATAATTGCAAATAAAGTGCAAGACTATATTGAACTGGCCAAGATTTAGTGTCTTTTACGTGCCCTATAAAACTATTTTGCGAATCTGCTTCTAGTCTAGATTTCTAAATTCCCCCTAACTGGAAAACTACTCAGACTCAGTCTGGCAAATTGCGATCTGCAATATTTTTACTATTAGCCGCTTTCCAGTCATATATTACTCTTTAAGTTTAAATGTTACTAATTATAAAGCTAAGCTGATAACTGAATAAAAATACACTATACAGTTTTAAAATGAATATGTAAGTAAATGTATGCGAGTAAATTATACTCATCATTTAGAGTAGAAAAGTTGGTCGGTTATTACTCAATATTTGAGGGGTTTTTTACTCAAAAAATTGAGTTGGTGAAGTTTACTCTACTCTTGAGTAAAAATAAATTTCGTCATTACTCAGAGCTGAGTAAAGTATACTCATTGTCTTGAGTGGTCAATACTCAAATGATCTTACTCAAAATACAGAGTTGTTGTTTACTCAATTTAAGAGTAAATTTCGTAATTTACGCAGCAGTGAGTAAATTACTCAATTTAAGAGTAAATTTTGTCGTTTACGCAGCAGTGAGTAAATAATACTCATCGTCGTGAGTAGAGTTGTTCGTCAGTTTTTACTCAAAATTTGAGTAATTTTTTTGTTTACTCAAAAAAGAGTAAAAAAAATGCTTTTACTCAAACAATTGAGTTGGTGATGTTTACTCCACTTTTGAGTAAAATTAATTTCGTCATTTACTCAGTGCTGAGTAAATTATACTCATTGTCTTGAGTGATAGTTACTCAAATTATTTTACTCAAAATACAGAGTTGTTGTTTACACAAGTTTAAGAGTAAAAGTATTTTAACATAAAGAAGGAGTAACATTTACTCAAATTATTGAGTAATTGTTGCAATAACTCATAAAATGAGTAACATTTACTCATGCATTTTTTGCAGTACATACATATATATATATATATATATATATATATATATATATATATATATATATATATATATATATATATATATATATATATATATATATATATATATATATATATATATATATATATATAGTGGACTGTTAGTAACAATATTAAGATCCTATTATATATACAAGCATATCTAATTAAAAATTCTAACTTAGTTCTATTGTAAGAGAAGTAATCAACATACAGGGTGTATCAAAATAAACGCAATTCATCTTTTATGCTTATTAATGTCCTCACCGTTTAATAAATATATATATATTGAGATATTTAATATAACGACACGCATAAGAACACAAGGTTTGTGGGGTTATGGAAGTGTGGGACAACTGCTCTATATACTGTATTTTTTATCTGCGAAGAGCTGGGTGCTGAGCGGTTCCCAGGGCATATACTCGTATTGAAAAGCTGGATCTTGGGGAAAGTCGATTAGGACATATACTGATTTGCAGCTGGGTCCTAATCTGCCCAAGACATATACTTTTACGGATTTAGAGCTGGGTCCTGAGTCGGCTAAAACATATACTCCATTTAGAGCTGGATCCTAGCCTGCCCTGCAAGACATATACTCTGAGCTGGGCCCTGGGAAAAAATGATCAGGGAAATATTTCTTAGAACACTGATCTGGCTCAGCACATATACTCATATGCAGAAATAGAGTGATTTTGTAAATGGGAATTGGCTGTATGCCAGGTTGCCAAATTCCGTAAAGAAAACGTGAGGTCTATGGTAAAATTGCGACCTCATACTAGAGCAATTGCCTCCACAATCACACAACGATAGTGTGTGTGATCCCCATAGACCGACAAACAACGATCGAGTGTTTATCTCACTCTGCAATCAATCGTTTTGAAACGTCTGTAAGGACATTGATTGGCGTGCGAATATATCTGAGGTAACAATCGGAAGACCATCTTCCTAGCGTTTGAATAAGCCAATGAGGCAAACCTTGGGACGCAGCTGTGGTAGCCGCTCCGATTCTAAAGCTGTGGCCTGCATAGTGAGCAGGGTGATGACCACCTTGGGCCAAAAGTGTTCGTAGTTCCTTAGTAAATTGACTACGTGATAAAGGAACACCGTTTGAATAGCAAAACAATGGTCCCGCATAGTCCGTTGGCGCACGTGAAAGGTAGGTTTGAAGGGCCCTTACTGGACAATACATACCAGAATTGCTGCCAATGGTTATTGTGGCTGAGGCTCGAAACGGATCGGTTTTTGACGCTTTAATTCGTAGTTGCAGAAAAACCTCGTTATCCCCACGTTTTTTGTTATGAAAACTTACATCTGATCGGCAAAGGTTTGTTGAAGAATTATAAGGACCGGAGCAAGTCATTTCACCAATCCGCAAAAACCCGAAAAATGCTATGGAAATCGCTGCCCAAATCCTGGTTTCATCATGTGTTGGCGATGTCCGTGAGTGTAATATGCGGTGAAACAATTTCAAATGGTCTAATGTAATTGGTAGGCGTGTTCTTGTAGACACTCCTTTTACTCGCTTTATACCTCGCAAAATATAGTGTAGGCGTTGAAATTTGGTGATTTGAAGGTCGTAGCCGTTAACCAAATGCATATGGCGTACTGCTGCGAGATAGACTTTGATGGTGTCTGGATTTACCGTCTTAGCGAGAAAAACAGCAAAGTAAATCAGAATGTTTTCCGTTGTTGGCAGAAGAGGCACATACTTATGTAAATGGAATTGATAGTAGAAATTCGTGAACTGTTTTTCGCCACTGCTATAAGTTTTAATCGTACCTTTAGCTAACGAAGCAAGTTGATAACGACGCAAGTCAGCGTCTAGAGACGAGAAAGTTCCTCTGGTAGAGGTTGAGGTTGATGGTCTGCATGCGGTGCTAGCCGCCGAAATCTGGTTTGCTGAAAACGGGAGATAGAATCAGCAATGTCATTATAATGACCAGGCACATGTAAGGCTTTGAAATAAAAGTTATACTTCAGTGTTTGTAAGGTTAAAGGACGCACTAAGTCCATAATACGAGGGCTTTTTGAACGTTTGGAAT